TCAATTAAACTTTAGTTTTTCTTTATTTTCCCACCATTAAGGGTGGGTGTTGCCCCTTTCAACGAGTGCATAAATGTCATAACTTGAGATGATTAATCTTCAGACATTTATTATAAATTCAAATCGCTACGCCGGATGACCAATAACTTTCTGATGCTCAACTCAGACAAAACTGAAGTTCTTGTCCTCGGTCCTAAACACCTTAGAGAGGCATTCTCTAATAATATAGCTACGCTAGAGGGCATCAGTTTGGCATCCAGCCCCACTTTGCGAAATATGGGAGTTTTATTTGATAAGGGTTTGTCCTTCCGCTCCCACATTCAACAACTCTCTAGGATAGCTTTTTTCCACCTGCCCAATATCTCAAAAATTAGACCCATCCTGTCTCAGAGTGATGCAGAAAAACTAGCCCATGCCTTTGTTACCTTTCGGCTGGATTACTGTAATTCTCTCTTATCAGGCTGCTCCAGTAAGTCTTTAAGGACTCTTCAGCTGGTCCAAAATGCAGCAGCTTGGGTATTGACTAGAACCAGAAGAAGGGAGCACATCTCTCCTGTCTTACCCTCTCTTCATTGGCTCCCTATTAAATCTAGAATTGACATATAAAGCGCTTAACGGCCAGGCTCCATCATATCTTGACGAGCTTGTTATACCATACTTTCTGTCTAGAGTGTTACGCTCACAGTCTGCAGGCCTGCTCGTTGTACCAAATGTCTCTAAAAGTAGTATTGGAGGAAGAGCTTTCAGCTACCAGGCACCTCTCCTCTGGAATCATTTACCGCTCGAGGTTCGGGGGGCAGACACCCTCTCAACTTTCAAGAGTAGACTTAAAACGTTCCTCTTTGATAAAGCTTATAGTTGGGGCTGATTTGAACCAGCTCTTAGTTATGCTGCTATAGGTCTAAACTGCCGGGGTTATCTGGCACACTGAGCTAGAGTCTGTCTCTATCGCTCCTTTAGATCTCTATGTCCCATATAAGTCACTAACCAGATTTCTGTCTCTCTGAGTGTCTCTGAGTCTCTTAGCTTCCACTGGACTAATGCTGCAGACGGTCTGCTGCAGAACTGCCTGACCCCAGCTGAATTGTCCCTTATTGTCCACCTTAGGCCCTGAGCTCCTCCATCTCGTTGCTGCAGACACCCCCAGCCCCCTAGGTTGCTCTGGACTGATGGCTGCTGCAGACCTGCCTGACTCTAGCTGCATCGTCTATGTTTGTCCGCCTCAGGCCCTGAGCTCCTTATTCTCTTGGATTCCTCTGGACTGTTAGCCGCATCGTCTATGATTGTCCGCCTCAGGCCCTGAGCTCCTTCTTCTCTTGGATTCCTCTGGACTATTACTGCGGACATGAACATCAGCCTCACTGACATTAATAACATAAAACTAGAGTTGACTAATGTCTATGATTGTCCACCTCAGGCCCTGAGCTCCTTCTTCTCTTGGATTCCTCTGGACTGTTAGCCGCATCGTCTATGATTGTCCGCCTCAGGCCCTGAGCTCCTTCTTCTCTTGGATTCCTCTGGACTGTTACTGCAGACATGAACATCAGCCTCACTGACATTAATAACAAAAAGCTAGAGCTGACTACGATTAGGCCTGCTGAATGTAATCATATTTTATTAATTTAACATTGTCCATAATCACTCATATCCTAACCCTGTAAACTGAACTCATTTTGTTTCACCATTACATGAGCTGTTGTTCTGATTCTTTACCTGATTTGATGGAATTAAGGACATGGTTTTCAGATTTGATGTCTCCCTGAGCCTTAGGATCAATAAATAAAACCTCAGTTTTGTCCTGGTTGAGCTGTAGGAGGTTTTCTGCTATCCAGGATTTAATGTCTAGGATACAGCTAAAAAGGGCATCAATTGGCCCTGTGTCATTATGAGACATGGATATGTACAGCTGTGTGTCATCAGCATAGCTGTGAAAAGTGATACCATGCCTCCTGATGACATCTACCAGTGGGAGCATATATAAATTAAATAGCATGGGGCCTAAAATTGAGCCTTGGGGCACACCACATTTAATGTCATGAATCCTTGAAGAGCATGTGTCCAAACTTAAAAGAAATTTTTGATCCGTGAGCTCGAAAGTAAAACCATTGAAAGGCAGTACCAGAGAAGCCTACAAGGTGCCTTAGTCTCTTTAAAAGAATTGTGTGATTTACTGAATCAAAAGCAGCACTTAGATCCAGTAGCACAAGGACTGTAAGCTGTAGAGGTCTGTAGCTATTAAGAACATTAGGATCCAAATTGTTCTTCAGAAGTAGTCTCACTTCTGCCGTTTAAAGGGCAGCAGGGAAAGAGCCTGTCTGAAGAGAGCAATTCACTAGATTTAAAAGCTCCCCTTAAAAGAATCTATAGTGATGTGGGAATTGGGTCTAAAAGGCAGGTTGTTGGTTTTACTTGGGAGAAAACTCTACCAAGCATCTCAGCATCAACCAGGGCAAAACTGTCCGGTGTTTTCTCAGGTAAAAACAAGCTTTCCACTGTATTAGAAACAGAGTTTTGAATAGCTAAAATGGAGGATCGTTTAGAATCAATTTTACCCCTAAAGTGGTCTGCAAAACTTTTGCAAAGTGTGTCTGAAGGAGTGATTTGATGTCTGTAAAAAACTGGGTTGATTAAAAGATCAATTGTAGCAAAGAGGATTTTAGGGTTGTTTTTATGATCAGGTAAAATAGGTGGATCTTGAGTGTCTAAGAGCAATATTGTAAATTTTCAGTTGCTCACAGTATATTTGGTGATTAATTGCAATTTAATTTTTCCTCCATCTCCACTTAGCTACCCTGCAATTTCTTTTCAATTTTTTGATTTCCTCAATTCTCCATGCCCAGAGGAAAAATTTACTGCTCAAAGCTTGCTCTTCTGTAGCTCCGGAGACAAATTTGAGATTCTCATCTCAGCCTCATTTTAGTTTCTATTTTGACTCAAATGTTTCTCATATGTTTCTCCTAAAATTCACTAGGAGCAATAGGTGAGACAGAGTAATTAGAGGGAGTCATACTTGAGACTTAAGGGAGATACCTTGCTAATCTCAATTCAGTGTTTTTAATGGCTCCTTTATTTCTCCTTGGAGAAGAAAATGAGCAATACTGGAGCTACTATGGAGCAATATGGCGCGCACGCACGAACGCACATACACACACACATGCACATACCTCACAAATACTGCAGCAACTAAACATTCTGAAGCACATACATACATACATATACATAAATATATATATATATATATATACATACACACACACACACACACATATATATATATATACATACATATATATATATATATATATATATATATATATATATATATACACACACATACATACACACACACACACACAAATACACACACCAACGGCCGTCAGGCTTTATAATTCTATAGCAAATGAGCTGACAGACAAATTGATTTCCCTTTTGCAATGAGTAATCTAAATCTTTATTCAAAGTATAGTAGAAAGAGTATTTTGAGTATTTCAAGTAGCTGTAATAACATTAACAATACAGGCAGCATTTGTAAACACAGGCTTTTTTTTGAACGTGGTCGTTTCAACAAATGTCTATCAGTATGCCACATCCAATACTTTACAGTGTTGTGGCCCTGATGCTGTGTTTCAAGTAGCTGTAATAATGACATAACTTTACAGTGCACATTGCACAACATTTAACAACTTTAAAGGGATAGTTCACCCAAATTTGAAATTGTGCACTGTAAAGTTATGTTATTATTACAGCTACTTGAAACACGGCATCAGGGCCACAACACTGTAAAGTATTGGATGTGGCATACTGATAGACATTTGTTGAAACGACCATGTTCAAAAAAAGCCCCTGTATACAAATGCTGCATGAGGGCCTTAAAGTGATAGTTTACCCAAGATTGAAATTTCACTCATTATCTACCCACCCTCATGTGGACTAAGGGCTGGGAGAAGTTTCAGAGTTCTCCGTGGCTTCTCTGAGTTACTGGGGGTCTCGACGTAGCAGTGCATGTCAATATAACGGTTGCAAATGGATACCAACTGTCTTCGTAACAAAAAGACCAAAAAACACCAAATACCTCCATGCTGCACATATGTAATGTCCGTCTTGTATTGAAGCCCCGAAATGCGAAACTGTCCCGAAAAATATTAAATAAGTCTATATTTCAAGCTTGTTTTGTAGCGGAAGCTTCTCGAAGCTCCTCCTCCCTGGAAAGAGGACAGACCCTGGTTTGTCCAAATTTGACAAACCGGGAAGAGGAGCTTCAAGAAGCTTCCGCTACAAAACAAGCTTGAAATATAGACTTTTTAAATATTTTTCGGGACAGTTTCGCATTTCGGGGCTTCAATACAAGACGGACATTACATACGTGAAGCATGGAGGTATTTGGATGTTTTTTGGTGTGTCTTTTTGTTACGAAGACAGTTGGTATCCATTTGCAACCGTTATATTGACATGCACTCCTACATCGAGACCCCCTGTAACTCAGAGAAGCCATGGAGGACTCTGAAACTTCTCCCAGCCCTTAGTCCACATGAGGGGGAGGAGATAATGAGTGAAATTTCAATCTTGGGTAAACTATCACTTTAAGGCCCTCATGCAGCATTTGTATACAGGGGCTTTTTTTGAACGTGGTCGTTTCAACAAATGTCTATCAGTATGCCACATCCAATACTTTACAGTGTTGTGGCCCTGATGCCGTGTTTCAAGTAGCTGTAATAATGACATAACTTTACAGTGCACATTGCACAACATTTAAAAGGTCCTTTTTTTGAACATGGACATTTCAACAATGTCCATCAGTATGCCACATCCAATACTTTACAGTGTTGTGTCCCTGATGCAGTATTTCAAGTAGCTGTAATAATAACATAACTTTACAGTGCACATTGCACAACATTGCACGGCATTTAAAACAACATTTTAAATGGGCTTTTTTTTGAACATGGACATTTCAACAAAGGTTGCAATACTTTACAGTGCTGTGGCCCTGATGCGGCATTTGTTTATGATGTCCATCCATCCAGGGTACTACAGCGCATGATGTAAGCTGCAAGAAGAAAAAAAACAGAGAAAAGAAAGCACAAATTACAAATGTCATAATGTAACAGCAGTTACAATGACAGTATTGAGAGTTTTTTTTTATCCAGATGTCACATAATTCACATTGAAATATCTCTATGGTTCACATGAGGAAATTCAGTAAAACTGTGAGGTCACTGAAACAATCAAAACATTAAATGTAGCTATGTGATACATGGGGTTCCAACACATCAGAAACTATGCCAAATGTGGCCAGATATTGTGATGAATGTGAGAAGGGTCAGAAAAAAGAGGGGAAACCAAACTAGAAATAAAAAGTAGAATTACAACAAATTCATTTTTGAAAATAATTTGTGCTTCTTTATGTTATGTATTTTTACTGATGGATTTCCACAACCTTTCCATATTTCCATAAATTGTTAACATTGAGCAATGTACTTACTAAGAATCCCAGTGACTTTGAACTTATCCAGGACTGTCTTCCCATCTGGCACCTTCCCGTGCTTCCCAAAGGCCACAGCATTTCGGCACTCCTCTGCAGTAAAAAACTCATCAAAAAGAAGATGGAACAATCTGAGGCAGTCCTTCTTTGCTTCTGCATGTATTGCAGCCAGGCAGGTGGAAGACACGAATAGGCCACTTTCTGGATACAGCTCTTGCTTCCCAGATCTGTGTTTTGGAGCCCCAACACCAGCCTGAGGTTGGATCTGTTCCACTTTGTCCAGAAAGCTTTTTAATGCCTCGAGGTGCTCACCACCTGTAACATAAAATATGAATTACCTTACAGGGACACAAAAGCAAAAATAAACTAAAGAAAAGGAAGAGACCAGTTTTTAAAAAATCAAGAGATTTCATGATGGGCTAAGATTTTTTACCAAATTGTTAAAAGCTTTTAAGTTTTAGTTTAATTTGGTACATTAGGAAAATTGTGAGAGAAAAAAGTAATAGTGTTAAAGGAACAATTAACTGCAACAGAGAGACAAAATGTACTTACTCATACTGCACAGCACATCCTGCAGTTTGGCTTTCTCCTCCACTAATTTTTCCACCTCTGCCTCGCATGCCCTGCATGGCTTCCATGATCTGTCTTCTCTTGATTCAGGGAAACTGAAAATTGGCTCTGCAGATTCTGGAAGTGGATCACGCTCAATGATGATAGTATCTGCAGATGACGAGCATGAAGAAGTCTCATGTTCAGTTGACTAGGCTGGCTCTGGTCCCCAAGAACAGCAGGTTTTTGGTTTTTACCAGGACTGTACAACATTTTGAGAAAGCTTTCTTTGGGTGTTACAGTTGGAGCTGGTGGCTGTCTTTGGTGATACAAATCCACCAAAACAGGTTGTTCTGACAGGTCTGAAGATGTGGGCAGTGCCGTGTGAGATTGGTGATGCTTTGGATACTGCGAAAGGTTGGAACAATGTGTGACTGGAGACAGAGTGAGTGCATACTGGTGGAGCGGCTGGACAGGTGGATGCGTATGTGGCGATGACTGGTAAACTGGAACCTGGTACTGTGGCCAGGCAGTTACAGGCTGGTGCTGTGGCTGGATAGGTAAAGATGACTCGGTAGGTGGAGGTTGGTACACTGGCCAGGTAGTTGGAGGCTGGATGACGTTGTGGTCCACAGTATTTGGATGATCCTGTACTGAGGTGGACTGACCTGCTTGAGGTAGTGATGGAAGGTTGTAAAATCGTTGAGCAGCTGCATCTCTTTTTTTTCATGTCTTTCTTTGTGGCCTTCTTGGCATCCACTGTCTTTTTAACTGTTCCAACGGAGTCCACTGTGGCGGTGTAGAACTTGTTGTCGGACCATCTTGCAAGTACTTCTTCCCCTGGCTTCAGATCTCTAAGGCAGGTTGTGGGTTTATCATCTTTGCTTAGTATATCACAGGCATTAAAAATCTTTGCCGTGTATCCGTCTTCAAAGGTCAAAAGTACAAAAAGTCCTGAAAATGAACAGAGTAAATAAAGGAGATTTTGAGTAAACCAGTACAGGCTAAAAATCAATCTTACTTAAACATGCTACTATATCTTATTGGTCTCAATTCTAATCCTCTTAGACTTAGCAGTGATAAAAATTAATCTCTTCACATTAGCCTTCAACTAGCATTCTTTTTGCATTTGCTTCACACTTCTGCACTCATGCGACACTTTACAATAACAATGTATTTGATTTGAATCATGCACTCTGTATTCTATCTTTTCACTTTGTTTTTATTCTATTTCATTATTTAATGATTACTGTATGCATTTTATTATCAACGAGATCAACAAGATTCCCGCAAGTCTATGCATGCGTTTATTATTACTAATTTCTCCAAGATGTACGCCTCCTCCAGGTAAACAAACACCTGGTTGCATGTTTGTATAACTATTTGCTGTTGTCTGTGGAATAAAAAGGGTGGTGTGTGAGTTGCAAATAGCTTAAACAGCGGTAGAACGCACTACCTCCATTTTCTGCTGCTGCTCGGAGGTGGGGACAGAGAGATCTGCTAGATAACAGGAGACATTGAGAGAAAAATCTGCACATTCATTATTCTAGAGGTAAAATATTTGGAAAATATGGCCCATGGTTGTTTTTGCCTGGAATTGTCCTGTAAGCTTTATTGTCTTTCATGCAGACACTGTGATATATGCAACTTCACCCTCTCATTCATTCGTGGTCTCGTACTGCCATCTAGTGGTGCAAATAAATCGCTACGCGACATGACAGCGGGTGATAACGGAAACACCTTTCCTCAGGCAGACACGCCTGTAAGTCTGCCAACATAAATTGTAGATAAAAGCCAGATAGCAGCTGCTAAAACCTTAGTCACGGTGCAGCAAGAAGTAACTACCATCAAGCTAGACGAAGAACCGACGTCAGGACACCGCTGCTCAGGTTCGGCTGTAACAACTTAAGATCGTACTATTTGTTTACATTGTGTTGTGTGTGTGTGTTATTTTAATAACCTAGCTTTCTTTGTACCAAAATCTAAATTTACATGTCTTTGACTGACTCTTATAGATCCTACCATTGAGAATTGAGACTACTAAAGTTTATGAGACTGCTTTTAATAATGAGACTTAATTATCTTATGATATTGATTAATTTGGGTTATACAACAGTTAGTTCCGACTGGTCCCAACCAAGCAATTTGATTGGACAAGAGATGTTCCATGAGTGCTGATATACAGTACAACAGCACTCCCTCTCGTGTGATATTGCTTAATTATACAATTATTGTTAAGCTTCCTAGTAGATTCCTTTCGCCTCCCAAGGACATAGCTTCAGGAAGGTGATGCCCCGAGGTTTTGTTTAACCCTATATGATTAATCAATAACTTGATACTACGATAATTTATGAATAGTGACCATAACTGGTCATGAATCATTATCCTCCATATACTCTACATTGTCAATACATTTTAAAGAATTAAATTCTATAATCTACAATAAAGTGGCAACAGAGTTTCTGTAGGTATCAACAATTAGAGACCTATTTGCAATTTCATGCCTATCCTGGAAAAGAGTTGCTACTTTTTCTGATGAGAGAATTTTATTTTATTTAAATAATTTTTTTTTAAATCAATTTCCCAGCCCCAAATGTAGTGATAATTTGACCAATAGAGTTGTAAAATTCTGTCACTAAAATGCATACAGTTTCAAGTGGGGGTTACTCTCACTTTTCTTGACATTTCTTTTTAAAAAATCCTGTAAATCAATGTTTGCAGCTGAAGTTTGCCAATATATTGATAATAATAATCCAAGTGATAAGAGACCAGGGACTGTCAAAGATTTTGGTTTTTATAGTGTCCAAAGTAAATTAGAAATGACAATCATGCCAAAAATTAGCTAAGCCATGTAGTGAAATGATAACTCAATTACCATCTGAGTCATCTTTGGGTGAGCCGGGGTCTGTTTCATAAAAACACATCTTCTTCGGTGGGTTTCGCGCTCTTTTGGGCATCTCTTTCTTGGTATTTCCTGCTGGGCCATCCATTCTGTTAAATACATAAAAGTACAATATTTTAATTATTTAAAAAGGTGGTTCAATGTCTTATTTTAGTTACTAGTTTTATCATGTCATTATATCTCATAATTTGGTACAGCAACTTGTTGAAACATTTGGATACAGAGATGTGTTACTGTAACCATATCAGACAACTCAGGAACTGAAAAACATGGTCTTTAAGAGGATATATCCTCTTAAATTTCAACACGTAACAATTTTGTCCACAGCAAGCACTTTAAATATGCATGAGGCTCCAATGCAAATATCTTAATTGCCAAAAATGCCATACATCATGTTAAGATTTGCTCACCAAATCAAACTTGCTGTCTTGTTTGCTAATTATATAATAAAATATGATTAACCACCCATAGAAATCTGAAGAATTAATTATGAACACATGAATACGTATATAAAATTATGTTTAAGTCATGAAACAATAAGCGGTATGATCTGCTCTGAGACGCTGGAGGTGTGTGCTGAAGATGCTGAACTCTGTCCAGCTGCCTGCAGAACTCCCTTTTAAACATACACCATTACAACAAGCCTTGTTTAGAGCAGTCTTGATAAACAACATGGATAATACTGAAAAAATAACATTCATTAGCCACTTCAATCTAATTCGGCACATATTTTGTAGGTAAATGTGGACTCCTTTCTAAATGACCAGCTAGCAGGCAATCCATCACAATCATTGTCGTATTAATTTGAAGATTTTTTCAATGGAGTTCAGTATTATTTTACTCACTTCATTGTTTGTGAAAAAAAATCCCAAAGAGCATATTCTTTACATAAAGATATTACCACAATAAATTAACCAGTTAACGTTAGCTAACAGTTAATCATAATAAGTTCATGGCCACGTGTGGTCCGGGCCTCACTAGCTAAGTTAGCTTCACTATTAGCCGCATGTGCCGACCAGTTTCTTCGAAAAAAGTATCTCAACCAACATAAACACTCGCCACCTAAATGTTTACAAAGTTTTACCCAAATTACGCTTTACAAAGATATCGCTTACCTTCTTTTACGTCCCGTAACGGTTCCTTCTGCCTTCATCTTTTTTTTTTTCCTTCTGCCTCCCGCACTGGCGCACTCCAACCGTTAACGTAAGACTTTACGTCAGTCAGACCTAGAGTGCCAATCAATGACCATTCATGATGCAGCAATTGTGACTGATGGCGCTCTCTCCCAATGAAATGTTGACGTTAGGGCTGCATCATCTACTGGGTTCAAAGTTCACAACTTGTTAAAAAGTGCTATATTCTGATATTGGACTTTGTTGAAATAGTAACTTTATTGCTCTCAAATTACCAATAAATGACTGTTGTTTTTATTTTACGTTTTATGTGGTTCATGAAAAAAAAACTGAATTATGTGCATTGGAATACTCACAGTTATTCATAGAAAATGTAATTAATATAAAAGCAGAAGGTCTTTGCAACCTACAATCATAAATTTTCAATCAATTCATTCTGAGTACAGTTATACATAATTTAAAAAAAAATCATGTGGATTACAATAAAGTCAGCATGATTAAAAACAACCAAAACATTGATCTAAGTCTGAGAAATCAATGAGTGCTTTTGGAGAGCTCTGCATTTGTTCTGTCTGAGCTTAGTATGAGATGGATAAACTGAAGCTAGAATGAGAATAGATTGAGTTTATAGAGAGAGCTCTCTAATTTCTCTGTATGATATCACAAAGAGACATAAAATCTGAGAAACTCTGAGAATTATATTAGAGCTTGTTGAGATCTCTTCTGAAACTTAAAAGGAGACTAAATTGAGATTTACTGCATCTTATTGCTCTGGAGAAAAAGATGAGACACAGGAGAAATAACCCTTAGTCTCAGTTTGCTGTCACACAGATCTCATAGTTGTCTAGGAGAAGTAAATAAAACATTTTTGAGATCTCTTTTTGAATTTTCTTTTCCTCTGGGTGGGGGTGTGCGCTTAGGCAGTACCTTTTTTGTTGTTAGTGGAGCTACGAGGTCAAGTGTTGTTTTAAGTTTGTGGATAAAATTTTAAATGATAAAATCACAGGATGCAGGTAAAGTAGCTGAGGGGTGCTTGCTTAAGATTTCAATAAAATTTGCAGCCACTTCTGAGTTAAAATAATGTTTCCTGACAGTTCACACCGAGGTCTCCTGCTGAATAAAATTGGTGATTATAAGACACACATGATCCGACACAGCCAGGTCAACAACAGAGGACACACTGGCTGACAGGCCATAGCTGAGGACTAGATCCAAGATGTGTCCTCTGTTGTGAGTTGGCTGTGTGACATGTTTAAAATCCAAGCAACTCAGTAAATTTGAAAATTATTTTGCCATGGAGTCGGTTGGATTGTCAGTGTGTAAATTAAAATCACCAGACATAATAATAAAATTGTAAGTGGCATGGATTTGGCTAAAATTTTAGAAAATTCACTGATAAAAGCAGCATCATATTTTGGTGGTCTGTAAACAGTTATATGAAGAATTGAGGGACTGTTCAAAACAACCGCATGATGCTCGAAGGTGGTGTACTGGTCAAATAATATTTCTTTGGTCTTTAGTGAGTTGTTGATTATTGATGCAGTACCATCACCTTTCCTGCCACTTCTAGGAGAGAATGTAAAGTTAAAATTAGGTGGGGAGGCCTCAGTGAGAATAACTGGTGCATCTGTACCCAGCCACATTTCATTTAATGTCAAATTCAGGAGACAGGAAAAACAATTAAAAAAAACTATAAAAACAATAAAAGCATAAAACATATAAAAGCATAAAACAACATTATAGCTAAACATAGCACATAAATAAAATACCCAATAAAAGCAGCTATACTTCCCCAAAAGCTAAAGTGAACTGGTGCATCTTCAAAAGTGTTTTGAAAGTGGAAAGGCTGTTAGCAGTGCACACTATAAGGGGTAAAGCGTTCCACAAATGGGAGCCACGACAGAAAATGCTCTATCTTGTCTAGATTTTAAAAAGGATCGAGGACCGTCTAAAACCACCTGATTAGCTGACCTCAGGGCTCTGGAGGGCTGGTGCAGTTTAACAAGGTCAGAGAGATATTCCGGGGCCAGCCCATTCAGAGACTTGAAAACAAATAAAAGAATCTTAAAATCGATCCTGTACCTAACAGGGAGCCAGTGAAGAGAGGCAAGCACCTGAGTTATGTGCTCCCGTTTTTTGGTCCCAGTTAGGAGATGAGCTGCAGCATTCTGAATTAGCTGTAAGCGGTTGAGCTCTGACTTGCCAATGCCAAGATACAGAGAATTACAATAATCTGAACAAGATGTGATAAAAGCATGGATAACTTTTTCAAGGTCCTTCTGGCTTAAATAAGATTTAACTTTGGCGAGAAGCCTTAGCTGATAAAAGCTCAATTTGACCACTGCGCTGACCTGTTTGTAAGGTTTAAAATCACCATCGATAATAAAACCAAGATTCCTGACATGGGACCCTTTGTAAGGTGCCAGTGAGCCAAGGGAGCTGGCAAGGACCTGAACCAGGTCAGGGCGACCGAACAGGATGACCTCTGTTTTGTTTTCCTTTAATTTAAAAAAAATAAGATCCATCCATGTCTGTACATCATTTATGCAGTTAAGCACGACCTGCAGAGAGTCTTTGGTCTGGACCTTAACAGGTAAATACACCTGCACATCATCAAAACAGTGAAAAGAAACACCATGCTTTCTAAAAATTGATCCCAAGGGTAGCATATAGAGGGAGAATAGTAGGGGACCCAGAACTGACCCCAGGGGGGACTCCACACGTCAGAGGGGCAACTGTGGAAGAAAACTGGCCCATGTGCACAGAGAAAGATCTATCAGAGAGGTATGATCTGAACCAGCTCAAAGCAGTGCCATTGATGCCTACACAATGTTCAAGGCGTGATAGCAGGATTGAGTGATCCACCGTGTGTAATATTCTTATAAAGTGTGTAAAATGACAGAGGTCTACGGGCATGATACATTCGAGTGCTGTTTATTCAGACGCTGCTGCAACGACAACCACGCAGGCGCAGAGGGACAATCTAGACCATAGACTGTATATAAGATGGACAGAGTCTGCCTCCTCGCTGGGTGAAGCCACTCCGAGAACAGCACCCTCTGATGGTGGGCTGCAGTACAGGTCATAAATCCCGCCTCTGACAGCAAAGCTTATGGGACTGTGGACAAACTTTAGAAATTTATTACACAGAACATAATTTTTTCTCCCCCCTGCTTGTGATGTTGACATATAGTTACAGTAAGACTGGTTTGTGCCCAAGTCCTTTTTTTTCTGTACAGCTCCGTTTTTAAAAGTTATTAGGGGGTTCATGTTTTCTATGATTGACACCTGGTACAGCCTATGGGCGTTCAGGGATTGCGTAGCTCTTCCGGGGGAATACGCTGTTTGACCCGAGCGTCATCACAGGGACTCTCGGCGACTGCGCAGCCGAATGCGCACAACGCTACTGCACAGCTCTGGTTTCGAGGAAGTGGAGAAAAACCCGGAATTACCGAGAGCTTCTTGGCTTCAAATCCGTATACAGGCGGAAGGCGGAACCACGGTGTCCATCTTATATACAGTCTATGATGTAGACAGTCACAGGCTCGCAGCTACGGAAGCCCACAAGGCGAATCATGCACGATACATTACATCTCCCCTCTTCAGTAAGAAGACTAGTAGTGCAACGGAGAAATATAACAGTACACTTGTGTTCTGGCAGGCACAAATAACTTTATTTATTTTTTTAACTCGTAGCTTATGTTTACAGAACAACAAAATAAAAATAATGCTTCTGCTTATTCAAACACAAAATAAACATACTGTCAGTCCCATAAATGTCCGCACTCAACAACAACACACAATTGAAGTCACAATACTGACTTGGAAGGAGAGGTTACTAGCACATCACTTCCATAAGGCATCTTTACCATGCCTGTCCCTGACTGTTAAATTTACTTCAACACAAATTATAAATCAAGTCTATCAGGGGGTTTCACAACTCTGCCCCGCCTGGTAGTGTACAGTTCACCTGGCTGGCCTGGCAGTGCTTGCACAGACCTCGGTCGTCCCCTGCATGGCGAAGGGCGCGGTTCTGGAAGGTCTGGAGGATGTGCTGGCACTGAAGGTCGCGCCGGCTTAGCTGGTACTGGATCAGGCAGCTTGGTCCACGGCTCGGTGAACAGCTCATGTCATGACTGGTTGGCAGCTGAAGTGCTTTTTCGAAGGTGTTGGCTGTTTCGGCGGAACTGCTTGCCTCCACTCTCCACGACGTAAGAGCGTGGAGCACTGTGAGGCTGAAGCACAACTCCAGGGGTCCACCTGCTGTGTCCCGGATACGGTGCCATCCGGACCTCCTCTCCAGGCTGCAGGGCAGGGCGGGGGTTAGCTGCCCTCTTACGGTCATAGTAGAACTTCTGTGCAACTTTGGTCCTGTCGAGCAGGCGCTTTACTGACAGGGAGTCTTAGGCCATGGGTGCAAGCAGCACACGAGCAGCAGGCAGTTTGTTGCGAGGCCTTCTGCCCATGAGCAGCTGAGCTGGTGACAGGCCCACGGACTCCAGTGGAGTGGTTCTGTAATCCAGTAGTGCCAGGTGCTTGTCTGACGCTTTACTCCAAAGTCTCTTAACTGTTTGCACCCCCCTTTCCGACTCGCCATTAGAATGTGGCGTCTGTGGAGATGAGGTCTTGTGCAGTACGCCATAACTCTTGCAGAACTCTTTGAATTCTTCTGATGAATACTGCAGGCCTCCATCTGTTCGCAGAATGGAGGGAATCCCATGTCTAGAAAATTGAGCCTTCAGAGCCCCAATTGTAGATAAGCTGCGCAGATCCTTCAGTTCATCTACTTCGATGTATTTTGAGTAGTAGTCCACTAATATAATGTAGTGTTTGCCTTCAAACTCGAACAGGTCCGAGGCCACTTCTTCAAATGGTAGCTCTGGAGTTTCAGTCGGTTTAAGTGGCTCTCTGGGAAGTCTGTTTTGGATCTCGGCACACTTGCAGCAATTCCTGATCATGTTTTCAATTTCAGCGCTCATGCCCAGCCAGTATAGCACCTCACGAGCTCGCTGTTTGCTTTTCACCATTCCTAGGTGAGACTGGTGTATGAGCTTCAGCATGTGTGCTCGCATGGTGGGAGCCACCACAATACGCAAGCCCTTGAACACTATGCCATCACACACAGTCAGTTGGCTTCTTGAGTCCCAGTATGGCTGAACAAGAATGGGCACTTCTCTTCGACGACTCGGCCAGCCTTGCTGAATTATCTGCTGGAGAAGGCCCAACTCCTCGTCTGAGTGTTCTTGAAGTTCTGAATATTTCTGCTCACTCACCGACACAAAGTTGAGCATGGAGACACACCCCAGGCTACCTGCCTCTGGTGTGCTGTCCCTCAGCTGCACTCTGGACAAGGTGTCCGGCAGCTCCATGTCCTTTCCTCTTCTGTATTTCACTGTGAAATCGTACCACTGTAGCCGCAGGCGCATTCTCTGGACGTGCATAGGAGTGGACAACAGCGGCTTCTTGTGAATATCCTCAAGTGGCTTGTGGTCGTTGTATATCGTAACGTGTCTCCCAAATATGTAATGGTGAAACTTAATGCAGGCATGGACAATGGAGAGCATTTCCTTCTCGATTTGCGCATAGCACGTCTCTGCATCTGTCAGTGATCTGGACGAGAAGGCAATAGGATGGTCCTCCTTCAGTATCACCGCTCCCAGTCCAGTGCTGCTGGCGTCACTGTAAATCTCCACAGGCTGGGCTGGGTCATAATATTTTAGCACCGGAGCTTGTATACATAGCTGTTTGAGCTCTTTGAATGCTTTTTGTTGTGCTGGCTGCCATCTGAACTCAACGTTGTTCTTAAGGAGCTGTCTCAGTGGAGCGTCTACCTCACTTAGATTTGGAATGAACTTTGACAGGTACGTCACAAAACCCAGGAAGCGACGGACACCGTCCTTGTCCGTAGGTGGTGGCATGCACCTCACTGCTTCAGTTTTTGCAGGGTCAGGCTTCAGACCATCAGACGTGATTAGGTGGCTCCACATATGGCACTGTCGACTGGCGAATGTGACACTTTTCAAAGTTAAGCTTAAGATTGTAGCTTGTGGCTCTCTCGACTACTTTGCGGAGTATTGAGTCATGTAATGCCATTGTAGGAGCTGCAATCAGGATGTCATCCATGACGGCTGTGGCTCCATCAATTCCTTCAAGCATCTGGTCCATGATGCGCTGAAATATCTCTGGTGCACTTTTGATCCCGAAGGGCAGTCTCAGCCATCTGAACCTCCCTATCGGAGTGTTGAATGTTGTGAGAAAGGATGATGCTTCATCCAGCTCTATCTGGAGGAACCCAGATTTAGCATCCAAGACTGAGAATACTTTTGCACCTGGAATGGTGGAAATCACTTCTTCTATGGTGTGCATTGGGTGGTGTTCCCTTTTAATTACTTTGTTCAGGTCACTTGGATCTATGCAGATTCTTATCTTGTCCTTGCGTGTGACAACCACCATAGAACTGACCCACTCTGTGGGTTGGTCCACTTTTGTGATGTAACCATCTCTCACCATCTCAGTCAGCTTGTCCTGTATCTTTTCTCTGAGCGCTGCTGGTTGCCGGCGTACTGGATGCACAACACCCTTTGCATCTGGATCAATTTTAATTGTGTATTCTCCTGGCAAAGTCCCTGTAGTGCGTGCCAGCTCTGGAAAATCACGCAGGCCTACGGGTACATTTGGTTTCTGTGCGGCATTCGCAGTGCTCACCTTGCACCTGTTGATGCCATCCTGCAGGGAGTTGAGTCGAACAATTAGGCCTAAAGCCTCAGCAGTAGCACCACTGAGCACATTCTCTTGTGCAATGTTTATTATCTCCAGCTCCGCTTTGGTCTCCCTGTCCTTGTATGTGAGTGAAAGGTCGACTGCAGCTACTGGCCTCAGCCTGTGGTTTGAATAGGAGCGCAGTATTCTGTTGGAGCATTTTAGCTCTCCCTGGTGATTCAGTAGCTGATAACAGTCCAGGGTTAGTGTGTTGCACTTTGCACCAGTATCTATTCTGAACCGCACCTCCCGAGAAAGAACACAGATGCTCACCACCCACTTGTCATCTGCTACTATGGCTACTGGAGTGTCTTCCTGTGTCAGGCTTATATCCAATATTTCTTCATCTTGTTGTGGGTCCTCTTCGGCGGACTCCACACTCACTGAGCTCAAGGCATGGCTGCGACACACTGCTGCCCAGTGGTTTAGTTTGTGACAGTATGAACACGTGGAACCTTGTGCAGGACATTTTCCTTGATTCCATGGATGCTGGGGGGGTTTCCCACATTTCAGGCACTTATTTTGATTTCCTGCAGCCTGTTTTTGTTGAATAGGCTTTGGCTGCGCATAGCTCTGTGGCTTTTTATTGTAGACTGTGAGCTTGGATCTGGTGGACACAGATGACACTTGTAAATCTTCCTCTATGACAATCAACATTTGTTTTTGTGACATTTCGAACTGCTGGGGAATTTCTATGGCCTTAGCCAGTGTCAGTTCCTCCCCTTTATCCAACAGTCTTTCCTGGACACGTGTTTCCCTTACTCCCGCTATTATTGCATCAATCAGCATGTCATCTGAGTCTGCATACTCACAGTCCATCAGTAGAAGCTTCAAATCCTTCACAAAGTGGTCGAAGCCCTCAGTGGCACCCTGTTTCCTTTGCTTGAAACAATGGCGTGCTATTCTTTTGTTCTTCCTCGGCCGTATATAGCCGGCAATCTTGTTCAAAACTTTGACCGGATCTTGTTTCTCACCGTCGTCGGCCCAGTTTAACGTCCTGTTGATCTCTCTGCCTTGTTCGCCTATCCACGTTCCCAGCCAGCCCGCTCGTTGTTTTGGTTCAAGCTCCGAGAGGGGACCGGCAAAAACAAAATCAACGTGGCTGCGGAACCTCTCAAACTTTTGATATAAATCCGCAGCTTCCCAGTCAATCTTGGGGTGCTCAAACGCTGCAGAAGCCATGGTCGCCATCCTACTTCTGACACCATGTAATATACTTATAAAGTGTGTAAAATGACAGAGATCTACGGGCATGATACATTTGAGTGCTGTTTATTCAGACGCTGCTGCAACGACAATCACGCAGGCGCAGAGGGACAATCTAGACCAGGGATGGGCAACTGGTGGCCCAGGGGCCGCACACGGCCCGCACCCCCACTCGATACGGCCCTTTGATTAATTTCTGAAAACATTAAAAAAAAAAAGTGTCTTCTGTGGCACTGAATCAGAATCAGTTGTAATGGCATACTTTGGCCACTAGATGGCTCCACAAATTGAGACGCTGCCTCATGCGCGCTTCTAGCGGCAGAGGAAGAGAGAGACTTCGAGCCATGGCTAAGAGGGGAATGGGAAGCAGAATATCTGTTCACAGAATTTAAAGGCAAACCTATGTGCTTAGTCTGCTTAGAGACCCTATCTGCAATGAAAGATTTTAATTTAAGTCGCCACTATAATACGTTGCACAAAGCAAAATACGATAAGTATACTGAAGCTGCAAGGGATGCTATCGTAGCCGACCTCAAGGCTAAAGTACACAAACAACAGTGACTTTTTGCCGGAGCCACAACCACACAGCAGTCTGCACTCAAGGCATCTTATGCTGTTGCACTCGAGCTCGCCAAAGCAAAGAAGCGACTGTCAGATGGCGAAATTGTGAAGAGGTGTGCTATGGAAATGGCCAGAGCATTTGGTGAAGACAACATGGCTAAAAACTTTGATGCGGTCTCCTTGTCTCGTCGCACAGTGACTCGCAGAATTTTTGACATTCACGACCATGTCGAGGGGAAGCTGAAACACGTAATGCAGGACTGCAAATACTTCTCCCTGGCCTTGGATGAAAGTACAGATGTGACGGATGTGAGCCAGCTGCTGATTTTTGCAAGAACTGTCAACGGCTCGTTTGAAGTGCACGAAGAGCTATTGAAAATGGTGTCTTTGCATGATAACACCAAGGGCACCGACATATTTAACGCCGTCAACAATGTGGTGGATGAATATGGTGGTTTCAACAAGCTATCAGCGGTTGTCATGGATGGTGCGCCTGCGATGCAGGGAAGACGCGCGGGGTTCGCGGGGCTCCTCCAACAGAGCAGAGTGAACTGCCCTATCCTGCATTGCATCATCCATCAGGTGAGTGATTATAGGTTTTGGGATTCTAAGTGACATGCAGGACAAAATATAGGTTAATTTTAATGCGTATTTAATTTATCTGCAGGAGGCTCTCTGCGCCAAGACACTTCACTTTAGCCACATCATGGATATGGTGACTAAAGTCACAAATCTCATCTGAGGTGGAAACAGATCGCTCAGTCACAGGAAGTTTACAGCATTTTTGGAGGAAGTGGACGCCGCGTATGGGGATTTACAAATGCACACAGATGTCCGCTGGCTCAGTCGAGGCAAATGTCTGGAGTGTTTTTTTGCGCTGCGGTCTGAAATACCAGTATTTTTGGAGGACAGTGTTCGTGGTGATGTGAGTTCTTACTGCAAGAAACTCAAAGACACTGCGTTTCTATGTGACCTAGCTCTTCTTACTGACATTAGTTCACATTTGAACAACCTGAACACAAAGTTGCAGGGGCGAGACCAAACGATCTGTGATCTGTATGCACACATGGCCGCATTTCAACGCAAACTTGATCTGTTCAAAGAGGGATTATCATCCCATCCGCTGCTTTTGACACACTTTCCTGCTTGTGAGGAGATGCAAAATAATGTCCCTCAATGCGAAGAGCTACTTCACAAATACGCAGCTGATATCGAGAGACTGCAGGAGCAGTTCAAGCACCGTTTCCAAGATTTCCACGCAATGGAACCACGGATAATGCTTTTCGTGGACCCCCTCTGCGCAGCTGTCAGTGAGCAACCTCCAGAATTGCAGCTGGAACTTTGTGACTTGCAGTCAGATCCGTTCTTTCAAACGAGGCTTAATGAGAAGGGTATTTCCTCTTGGAGTCTGCTACCTCAGTCCCGTTTCCCACACCTCCGAGAGTTTTCACTGTCACTGACCAGTATCTTTGGTAGTACGTATATTTGTGAAAGCAGTTTCTCAACCATGAAGCACATCAAATCAAAAGAGAGAAACAGGCTCACGGATGACACACTTTTTCATCTCATGCAGATTAGATGCACAAAGATTGACATTGATATCCAGGCCATTGTGCACCAGCAGGCAAAGCCACAAGTTTCCCATTAAAAGGGAACTGGCCTACTCATGATGATGATGATGATGATGATGATAATGATGATGGTGGTGGTTGTGGTGATGGTATTCACGGAGAATGTAAAAATGTAAAAAAAGAAAGAAAAAAAGAAGTGTAGTTTAAAAATGCACGAAGTGCACAAGTTCTCTAATTGCAATTAATGTTCTTCTGTTTTGCAGCTCCCTGCTATCTTTCAGATTGGATTGATTTGTATGTTTTATTGATGAGAGCCCTTTGTACTTGGAAAGAAGGGGTTATTTTTCGTTGGCTTCAAACCTTTTGTATTCACATTTATTTATTTCATTTATTTATTTTATCAAAGAATAGCACAACTTTTATACATGCATTTGAGCATGGAAATGTGAAGTTATTGCACTGTATGTTGAGTCAATAAACATATGATTCAAACATGTAAAATGGCAGTTTTACCATATCTGGTTAAGTTTGCGGTCTCATGTGGCCCTCTGGTAGTGTTGACAAAAAAATGTGGCCCCCTCCATCATTTCAGTTGCCCATCCCTGATCTAGACAGTCACAGGCTCGCAGCTACGGAAGCCCACAAGGCGAATCATGCACAATACATTACACCGTGTACAGGCACAGTTACCAGAATCAAGGTTTGACAAAAGATCATTAAAAACTTAAAAAGAGCAGTTTCAGTGCTATGAAGAGACTTAAAACCAGACTGAAACAGTTCACAAACATTTGCCCCTCGTAAAAATTCTTGGAGTTGGTTAAAAACAACTTTCTCTAAAACCTTGGAAATAAAAGGGAGTTATGATATTGGCCCAAAATTGTTTCTCTTTTTTAAGAGAGGCTGCACTGTGGCATGTTTGAAGGAGGAAGGCACACTTCCGGAGCTGAAACACTGATTAATGAGAGGCAAATAAAAGACTGGACTTTATTAAAAACCTCCTTGAACAAACGGGTAGGAATGCTATCAGATGGACGGTCAGCAGGACCTAAGTTTACCACTATTTCATTAAGTGTTGAGAAGGAAACAGGCTCAAACTGCTGAAAGACAGCTGAGCAAGCTGAATGAACAGAGGGGTCCTGAAGAGACTGGGGGGGATGAGGACCTAAGAGCAGAAATCTTATTGACAAAGAACTGCAGAAAATCCTCACACAGAAGATGAAGGCTAAATACAGACAGCATCACAGGGACTAACTAAATAGTCAAATAAATTAAAAAGAACCTGCGGTTTGTGATTATTAGAGGCGACAAGTGAGGAAAAATACTCAGTTTTTGCATTTTTCACAGCCTGCTGATAGCTCAGGAGAGAGTCATGTAGGGGATCCCAGGAAATTTGGAGTTTGTCCCTTTTCCACTTCCTTTCTGCCTGTCTGCATGCACATCTAAGCGCACGAGTGGACTCATTTAGCCAAGGCTCAGTCTGTGGCTTTACAAGCCTTAAAGTCATGGGAGCAATGGACTCCAAAACCTCAGTGCATACAGAATTAAACTGATTTAAACAATCATCCACACTGCGGTCACCAAAACCATCCAGAGAGTACAAGAAGGAGTCTTTAAAAGCAGCGGAGAACTGCAGAGATGTTGAAGGATTAAAAACACGGAGACGCCGAACGGGAGCCGAGTCTGTAGTTGGGGGTGCAGGCAGTGACAGGGAAAATAAAACAGGTAGATGGTCGGAAAAGGGTGTGTGACAGTTATCAGTTATCTGCAAATTTAATCCATAAGACAGCATAAGTTCCAAAATGTGCCCCTTTTCATGCGTTGGCTCTGAAACTGAGTGCTTAATATTAAAAGAGTCAATGAGATTGAGAAAGTCCACCACACAGAGGACAGTCAGAGGGAGGTTTACCTCAAAGAGTTGCAGCTTGAAGCTGGAGCAGTTGACAGCTGGAGTCTGCTGGCACTGAAAAGTGTTTTTGAATATAGATGCTAGTCCTCCACCTTTGCCGGTGAAGCGAGGAGAGCTGAAAAAACCACAACCAGGAGGAAGGAGCTCTGAAAAAGGCGAAAGTTCTCCTTCACGGATCCAGGTTTCCAGGGAAACCCTAATAAAATGATCACTGCAGCAATCAGACACACGGACAGACCTCAGGTGAGCCTCGAACTGAACACAGAGGCCTCCGCGTTTACTGCGTCTGCTCTGGCTTCTCTGGGGGACAGGATAGAGGAGAGACCGCCTCAGAAATGCAGGGATTCCCTCGAGGTGTGGAGGAGAGTTCATCAATTTGTCATATTTAAGCTGATCAAAGAAGCCCCCAATCCCAAGCAAAGTTTGCCGATCGTATGTGAGGAGAGATGATACCTCTTGACACATCAGGTAAATCACTAGACACACAACAAACACAGAGCAGAGCAACAGACGGCCAGCCGAGTAGTATTGATTAGTATTGATAAAGTATTGATTGTTTACCAAAAGTAGTGTAAGTGAAAAAATAAAAAGTGAAGTGGAAAAATAATATTTGAACCTGAAAAAAATAAAATGGTACCTGAAAGTCTTGAATTTCGAAATTGAACTTTGAAAAATCCCAGAATGCATGAAAAAAAATCTGTTCAAAAGTAACTTTGATTCTGTCTTTTAATACTTTTGAATAAATTACTTATTTCTATTTTTCACTTCAATGTATATTTTGATCTTGGAGTACTTTTTTTTTTTGATTGAAATTTATTTATTTATTTCAGATTCAGATCTTATTTTTACGGATTCAAAACGTTTTTTTCGGTTTCAGATTATTATTTTTCAGATTCAGATCTTATTCAACTTGAAAAGTTTCAGGTTCAGTTTTGACCCTGTTTTTCTGTGGGGGCGGGCCTCGACTGAGAGGGGTGCGGTCTGCCATGAGTGACAGGCCTCCCCCCCCTTCCCCACCCCATCACCCTGCGTTCAGGAAGTGGCATAAATACACATTAGCTTAGCCTACAATTAGGCTGTATTGGCTGAATGAGATCGTGTTGGTTCGTTCCTCTTCAGTGGGGCAACATAAACTGTGATTCATAAAAAAGCTCTATTGATAGTAAGTACTAAAAAAAATATACTCATGTTTATGCCGTGGACGTGGATGCATCGGCGATGCTGCGTTAAGGGTTTGACTGACCCGTGGGTGCATCACGTTCTTGTTTCTCAAACCCCTTTTGCAAATAAATCGCTGGGAGCATGTCATGTGAAACCCAGCGTCATCAGGAACATTGTCAAAGTCGATATCAACGCAAAGTTTATAAGTTTCTGCAAGGTCCTTTGTCTTACCCTGTAGAGAAAGCCACTTTCTAATACTAGTTCTGTAAGTTTCCCAACGTGTCCTTGTAAAGTCGAGAACGTCTTCACTCTGGACAGATGACAGATGATAGATGCATATAGCATCGTTTTGTTCCATTTTTATGCATTTTTGAAGGCTGTTTTCTTTTGTTTCTTTTCTTTTCTTCCTCTTCGCTTGTCTCGCTGCTAGATGTGGTCATCGCCATGTTTTTGTATTTCTGATACTATGGCAACAAGACTTGGCTCCTATTGGTCCACGTGACAAAAATCGCTTCACCCCCTGCATATTCGATTGTGCGTGTAGTACCACTACGCCGCAGAAGGGAAATAGTTCGACACCGAAACACTGATTACTAAAAATCGACAGGATGGCATGAGTAGATATTTTTTTTAGTACTTACTATCAATAGAGCTATTTTATGAATCACAGTTTATGTTGCCCCACTGAAGTGGAATGAGATTCACTTTCTATGCACTTTTTTCCTCTGTCCCAATACAGCCTATACACCGCAGAAAGGAAATAGTTCGACACCGAAACACTGATTACTAAAAATCGACTGGATGACATGAGTAGATATTTTTTTTAGTACTTACTATCAATAGAGCTTTTTTATGAATCACAGTTTATATTGCACCACTAAAGTGGAACGAACCAACACGATCTCATTCAGCCAATACAGCCTAATTGTAGGCTAAGCTAATGTGTATTCATGCCATTTCCTGAACGCAGGGTGATGGGTTGGGGAAGGAGGGGGAGGCCTGTCACTCATGGCAGACCGCGCCCCTCTCAGTTGAGGCCCGCCCCCACGGAAAAACAGGGTCAAAAGTGAACCTGAAACTTTTCAAGTTGAATCCGAAAAAAGATCTGAATCTGAAAAATAATAATCTGAAACCAAAAAAAAACGTTTTGAATCCGTAAAAATGAGATCTGAATCTGAAATAAATAAAAAAAATTCAATTGAAAAAAAAAAGTACTCCAAGATCGAAATATACATTGAAGTGAAAAATAGAAATAAGTAATTTATTCAAAAGTATTAAAAAACAGAATCAAAGTTACTTTTGAACAGATTTTTTTCATGCATTCTGGGATTTTTCAAAGTTCAATTTCGAAATTCAAGACTTTCAGGTACCATTTTATTTTTTTCAGGTTCAAATCTTATTTTTCCACTTCACTTTTGTGGATGGTTAATGAAAACAGAGGGTCCAAGTCCAGTATTGTGTGTGTCAGAGGTGGAACTAAAATCATAGTAATTAGGACCTGGGGGACATCAATCAGTGGGGGAAAGGTCAGTCGGTGTACTTTGGGGTGATGGGAGGAAAGTGCGAGATGAGTATGTTGTACACAGTATGCCAGGTTGGCGGCCAGCAGGCGGGTGCCAGCTCTATTAAGATGAAGACCATCCAAAAAGATGTCTCCTTTCCCAAAAAACATCAAAATTATCAACGAAGTCGACATCGTGGGTACTGCAGGCTGACGAGAGCCAGGTGTTCAGGCTGAGCAGCCTGCTGAAGCGCCCAATGCCTCCGCCACAGGTGGGGTGGGGCTGGAGATAAAAACACACAGCTGGGGCCGTGAGAGTTTGTTAAAAAGCTGTGTGAAATCCCACTTTAAAAGCTTGGACTGTTGTCTGGAGGTGTCATTGGTGCCCACATGTATGACAGTCCTGTTTACCTGTGGATGAGAATTCAGGATGCTTGGGATTTTCTCAGTGATGTCTGCAAAGGTGGCGCCAGGAAAGGACAGGGTGAAAGTTAAATTGTTGGTGCTTG